TTAGGGTTTAGATCTGAAGGAGAATGGCTTAATGAGTTAATAAGGGGCTAACAGACTAGGGAACTCGACGAGTTCAAGGATGGACTCGACGAGTTGAAGTGAAGTGTCCCGATTCTGTTGAAAAGAAAAACTCGGCGAGTTCAATGATGGACTCGACGAGTTGGATCGTGAAATCACGATTCTATGATTCATAGGAACTCAGCGAGTTGAAGGATAAACTCGACGAGTTGAGTCAACTCAGAGTGTTAACTTTGATTTGACCTAGACTTGACTTTGACCATGGTTGACCTTAAAGGTTATGAGCATGAAATGGCAGCTAAGGGATTGTTTTGGTTCAGGGAGTGAGTACAGCTGATTCCAGAGCAGAGACGTTTCAGCTATCATCCAACATTTGAGGTGAGTTTCCTCCTGTAGGAATGAGTCGAAGGCACCAATGCCGACCCGATTATGTATGTTAGTATGTTCCGGACTAAGGTCCGATGCCGGGCGGTGCCCAATGAATGTTTATATGATTTCCGGATTTCGGTCCGATGTCGGGAGATGCACAAGAAATGTTTGTATGCTTGATGTCTTCGTGATTCTTGCATGTGTCTGTATATGTATGTTTCCATATTTCGGTCCGATGTCGGGCAATGCCCGAGGAATGTTAGTATGCTTCCGAATTTCGGTCGGATGTCGGGCGAGGCCCGAGGAATGTTTATATGTTTATGTTATGTGATTATTTATGTGTATTTGTTGATATGTTTATATGTATACCGAGCTTTGCTCGATGCCAGGAGGGGCCCGATGCCGGACATTGTCCGATGCCGGGCGGGGCCCGATGAAGGGGCAGGGCCCAATATATGTTTATATTATGTGCTTATGTGTATGATATGTGGTAGTTTGGGGAGACTCGCTAAGCTTCGTGCTTACAATTTTCAGTTTTGGTTTCAGGTACTTCCGGTAGCAAAGGGAAGAGCTCGGGATGACTGCAGTGCACACGCCATGATGTTTAGCCTGTGATGTTTTACTCTGATATATTGACATGTGTTTTTGATATGATGTTTTTGAGATACTATGACTTATATTTTGATGAGATGATTTTGATAACTATGGTTTATTTAATCATTAAAAATGGAATTTTTGGTCATGATTTTTGGGATGTTACATATAACTTTGAAACTAGAGACATTGTTCCCTATGAATAATATTTTCAACATGCAATACCAGCATAACAATTATGCTCCTACTGGCTTTGATAAATAATTAGAAATCATCTGGACTTCTAGAAATCAATACCTTTTGACTTTCTCAAGGAATTGTAGATTTATGTTATGCGATGCTTCAATAAGTCTCCAAATAGACTTCTTAAGCTTATACAACTTAGTTGGATAATGTGTGTGTGTTAAACCCTTTCAATATTGATAGATATATCTCTCGAAAGTTTAACAATTCCTTGCCTTTCCTCACGATTTGAAATATAAAGAGGGATGTCATAATCATATCTCGAATTTGAGAATACAATTTACACAAATAATATCCATATAGATAAGATCTTTAAAATCTATTAGAGAAAGTATTTCCACATAACATATTCATGAATTAGAGTGAAACCTTTTCCCATTTAGATTTCAAGGTGCATACGTTCCTATCCACGTGAATCTTTCAATTCCAACCTACATTCATAAGACAAGGTTTAGGATAAACCAAAATCACATTTAGTTCTCCTTCATGCACTGAACTTTGCTTAATCTAAATTTCCTTCCTTATGGCAGTTTAAAAGGCCCACCAGTGTTTCCATGTTGTTAGCATCTCACCCATACTAATCAGTGTACTTTCACTGACCAACGTGTTTAGCCTTTTGCAGTTAAATGAAGAACTTAGAACTCATAGGCGTTGCCAACTCAACTGGAAGTGCATAAAAATTAGAATGTGTCAATAAACACAACAATTTTATCAACCTCAGGTCGCGTGCTAGTGATAACTAAAATGATCATTATTGGTTGAATCTTGAAACTCTCAAGATCAATACGGATCCTACTGACTTCTTGACATATAAGTTTTCTCTCAAGAAACATTCCTTGACGATCTAAAACGTGTAACATCTCAAAAATCACAACAAATTTAAACTTTTCAAAACAACCCATTTAGTAAAAAGAAGTGTTTACATAACCATTGTTTCCAAAAAATATTATTCAAAATTAGAGTCTCCCAAGATCAACAACATAAAACCAAGGATGTGTACGGTCACGCCTTCGCCTTGCCACGGTCCTCAGAAGTACCTGAAACAAAACTAAAACTGTAAGCCAACACTTACTGAGTTCCCCCAAAGTACCACCACATAAATTTGGATGGGGGGGGGGGATATAATATGTATAAAAATCGATGAGCAGGAGGGTCATAGCCAAAATTTTATATTTTTGGGCCTAATATGTATAAAAATTAAAGTATAGGGGCTAATTGTAACAAAAAAATCAGGGGGGGACAACCCCCCTCGCCCTAATAAAGATCCGCCCTTGCTTCAGCATGATTGGACCGCCTCACCGGGCCTTCAGCCTATCTGGACTGCTCTCTGGGCCTTCGGCCTGACTGGTTCGCCTTACAGGCCTTCAGTCTATCCGGACTGCCCTGGGTATCTTGGCCTCCAGTCTATCCATTGGTCCTCCTCAATCCAGCAAACCATGACATATCAATGCATAACATTATCAACCAATAACAGATAACACAGGTAGTCCTATAAATCTACCACTCTGATCATGTACCAAGTACCACATAACTCCGCATAGCAGCATACAACAATCAATATATCTAATCCAATGGGCCGACCTTGGTGCCTTCGACCCAGAAGTACTGGGAGGAAAACTCACCTCACAGTCTGACGAATAGTTGAACAATACACTACTCTAAATACCGGCTCTATAGGTCACCTATTCAATAGATAGAGACCAAGGCTCAACTATAACTCATAATACCCAAAATATCCTTAAGTTAAACTTGGTCAACCTTGGTCAAAGTCAAAGTCAAATTCAACGGGTCAATGAGTCAACTTGGTCCACTCAGCCGAGTACGCGAGGTGTACTCAGCTCCTACGTTGGGCGTACTCGAGCCTTGACCGTTGATCCTCGAGTTATTTATTTTTGTGTTGACCAAACAATGGAAAATCGTCCCCTTCATGGTTCCATTTACATCTAGCCTTTTGATGTTTTTCTCTAATTCTTAAATTTTCAACGTTTTTCTCTAATTCTTAAATTTTCACCATACATTCAGATCTCTGTTTGACAACGTCTTCAATAAAGAGCTTCACCAATTGGGTCAAGAGCAACAATTTTTCTTTTTAGATCCTCAACATCTTTTCTTTTTTCATATGTGACTTTTTTCCTCCACATTTTATTTTTAGGATGCAAAATAATGTTTAAGAGTGTTTATCTTGGAACAAACTCTAAATTCTATTTTAGACTAATAGAATGTTGGAGATTATGTACTTAACAGAATGTCACTATTCATTTCGTAAAATAGAGCTGCATTAAAAAAAATTCTTCCTATTTTATACTTTATAAAAAAAGTGTAATGACAAAAGACAAGAACAGAACAATAATATTTGATAAATGTTGGATAATCCTCCTTAATAAATGAAAGTTTTTTTTGCCACATGTCAATCTCTCATGAGTTTTGACACTTGTCATTTTGTGGTATTTTTGAAGTAAATATTATCCATTTGTCAATTTTTGATTTATTTCAATTTTTAAAATTAAAGTCATATACTTATATACGTAAAGTATTAAATATCATATATATGATATTAAATTGCAATAAATACATTTCTTCATTTCTTATTTTAAAGTTGTAAATTAAAAAATATTTTCTGTTTACACTTTAATTTAATGTTTAATCTTTTTTTTAAATCAAACCGTGTAATACACGGGTCTCACACCTAGTATCATAATAGCAATGTTTTAAAAACCGGTTTTTTAGTTGAACCGGTATGGTGACCGGTTCCCGGTTTAACCGGTTCGACCACCGGGTCAACCGGTTTCTATAATTTTCATATTTTTTCTATTTTCCTACACATACATACATATATAAATCATGAATTTGACGTTTACTAGTTCAGAAATTAAGAATATACAAAAAATAAGTTGTAGATCAATCCAAATACATTAAAATAAAACATAACCATAAATTTTAGTGTTCTACATCAATCCATATATATCAAAAAGAAAATAAAATATAATACCGAAACAAAATATAGTTTTAAATGAATACAAACATATCAAAAAACATTATAACATTTACCATATGTTTTTATTTAAAGAAAAACCTAAATAGAAAAAAATCACCAAAGTTTATTATGTAAAACGTTATTTCTTATTTGTTTTTATTCGGGTTAACCAGTTCAACCGGTTTATTTTGACCGGTTCAACCGAATTTTTCTAAAAACGGTCGGTTCAATCCGGTTCAAAAATCGACAAAAAACCGGTGATAGTTGAACCGCTCTCTCTTCCGGTTCCCGGTCCAACCGGTTCGACCGGCCGGTTCAAACCGGTTTTTAAAACATTGCATAATAGATAGTAGATAGTATGATGATACAAAAGACAAAGATAGATTAAGAATATCACTCGAGTCCTCTAGCAATAAATCCTAGCCATTCATTCAATCAACGCTCTTTTAGGACTTGGAGAACATGGACCCAAATCGGCAAACCCCGAGTCCTATTCCTTTCACGCATTTTACAAACGTGGGACGTTTCTTCAATGAAAAACAGCTCAAACTTTTCTCATTGAACCAAAACATTAGTAAATGTAAAGAAGAAAAGACACGAGGTACTAGCCAGCCTTACGATAGATGTTACCAATCAAAGTCCAACCACAAAGCAAAGCATATAGTCAAAGTCATCTTATATAACACAGACTCATAAAACTCTTTCACCAGGACAGGATCAGGGGTGATGGTTTAGGTTAATATTTGTATGTAAAAAATACATTATGAACCAGATTTCACCAATAACACTTATTATATCTCATCTAGTCATGGATGATGGAGTGTAACAATATTGAAGCCTCGTCACTTGCCGGAGCTGTATCCTCTATTTTGAAAACATCTGAAAGAGTTGCCGGTAATTGAGCCACGATGTCGTCCTCATCACCATCTTCCTCATTCTCCACCACTTCTCCGCCACCACCACCACCATCTTTCTCTGCCACCGTCTCTCCGTCATTACTGAGTGTCCCGCCACTTTCTTCTCCTCCTCCTCCTCCTACTCCACCGCCATTTTCCTCTGCCGGTTGTTGGTTGGATTTAGGGCTGTTAACCAAATTGACGATGAGTTGATTGAACAAACCACCACCACCACCTCCATCACCACCAGGAGTCGGCTTTTCTTCTTCATATTTCACCCCATTAATCATCTCATCGCCACTATACTCCTCTAACACAACCAACCCACTTGGTTTTTTTTCAAGTCTTCCCAAACTACCCTTTTCATCATCCCTTCCTCTCTTGTTACCGATCCTTTCATCTATCACACCACCTTCCATCTCTTTTTCTCTACAACAGATCTAAGAACATATATATGCACACTCTTTCGATTCTTGAAGAACAACAGAAGAGTTGTTTGTTAATTGGATTTAGTTGTGTTGGTGGTTTGGATTGATATAAGGGATGAATAGTGTGTGTGTTTCGAGAGAGATATTCGTGGTGACACGTGCTCTACTGCTTTTGCTTTAGACATTTGACCCAATCAATCTCTTACGCGTGTCCTGGTCGGTTCGTTGAATAGATAAAACATATTAACAACCGACTGTCTACTTTAAATTATCAATTCTTTTTCCCACAATAAAGCAAAGTTATCTGTTTTTAGTAATTATTTTATCTTTATCTAAATTGAATGTCGACAGATACTGAGATACATCATGTATCTATCTATCAGTATCAGTGTCATTTAATGTAGTTTTTAAATTTTTTATAAGTTAGCAATAAATAACGGCAATTTCTACACGTACTGTGTATCTCTTTTCCATCTTAATCTAATAATATTTGTATACACTGATCACTAATTTTTTTTTTTAAACGGCAAATCTAACATATTCCTAAACTACACTTTAAATTCATCTATGTCCACAACGGGACTTGAACCCTCAACCTCAATGAGGTAAGACAACACCAAATGCCGCTGGACTAGAAGCCCTTTGGTCACTGATCACTATTTATGTGAGTGAAAGAGATATCTATTTTAATAAATGGAGGTTATTTTGCCACATGTCACATTCTCATTCACCATATACCATTCTGTGGTTATTTTGAATTAATTTTTTTCCACATGTCATTTTATGAGTTTTTTATTTTAATAAATTCTCGCATAATACTTTAATGTAATAATTACAATAAATATAGTAATAAATTAATATCAATTTCTTATCTTTCTATTTCAAAATTCTCAAATTAAAGATCATTAGTTTATTTTGTGTATTTATTTAAATTTAAAAGATAAAAAATCAACTTTAATAATTCATTATTTTTTATTTTCTTATAAATCCAAAGTTTTTAAATATTTAGTCCTTTATATTTATTTTTTTTTAATTTTTAATTAACCCATGTTATACATGGGTCTTACACCTAGTTTATGCATATTTATAGCACAATCAATAATAATCAATTGTATTGTGGAACAGTGTTACAAGATCTCTAGTTGCTAGGCAGCCCGAATTCTTTACTAATGTTGTCTGTGATAGAGGTGTCGCACAATTGGTGACGTATGATTTTGTGTTAAAGCGAACTAAAAGCCATAATAATTTAGTTTTTGTTTTTTTATAAAAAAATCACTACGTTCTGTTTTCTAACATTTTTTCGTAGTTTCTCATGAAAAGCCATAATATTTTAGATATAGCGTTTGTATTTATTGTGTACTATTTATAATATATAATAGGTTGGAATCATGGTTACAAAATTAATTAAATTTTCATAGGAAAATTCAAAATTATTAATAAGTTATTTTAAATAAATTATTAACTAAAAGATATTTTTTAGTTATATTAACTTTTATTCTAATGTTATTAATTTATTGTAATTAGAATGAAAATTTTAAAATTTGAAATTTAAAATAAAGAATCAATAGTTTGATCAGTGACACAACATTAATTATGAAGTTTAATAGGATAACACATGACAGAAGGGAATGAAACTATTCCTTTATTAGAATAGAGAGATTTTGACACCACGAAGACAACCTAACGACAGAGGTGTAAAATACTATATAAGAGATCGTGCGGCCATTTTTCTATTGTGTTTTTGTTTCAATTATTGGAAAAAAGAAGAAAGAATAACAATTAGTAGAATTTTTCTCTTGATTTTCTTTTTGACAATGGTTTCAAAAATAGAAAAAAAAATACCGATGAGATCATGAGAAGAGTAAAAAGGGATAAACTACATAAGAGGAATAGGCATTTTCAAAACAAAATGAAAAATAAACATATTTTTTAGAGTATACAACATCAATATAACTATTGTATAAATTACCAAAGGGCTTCTAGCCCAGCGGTATCAGGTGGTGCCCTCCCTCATTGAGGTCGAGGGTTCAAGTCCCGTGCTGGACATAAGTGGAATTAGGTGTTAGTTTAGGAGTAGAGTATAATATTTGTATTTGCCGGTTCAAAAAAAACTATTATATAAATTAATGAAACATATAAATATATTTTATGTAAATGAATTAAAATCTTAAATAGAAGAATCACCTCCATTTGCAAAATAATCTTTCACTATTATTTTGCAAAATGCATCCTTACAATGAATGCCGTCATAATAAAAGGAA